GTCTTGGGGCCATTCCCCGCTCGACGCGCGCATCCTCAGAAACGTCGTTTTATTTCCTTTTGAAATAGCCCGACGAAGGACCCAACCATGTGCAATTGCGAGTACCACATTGTGGGTACCGGTTTCGGTGGAGCTCCTATGGGGCCACGAAACTTGTGAGGGGTGCGCCGAAATTGGTGGCGCGGACGCATGTGGACACCGCCACTGGGGCCTTCGGTGTAGCTCCCTTTGGGGCCACGAAACGCTGCCCTGGGCCGCATGCGAACTGCGCCATTGGGACCTTCGCTGGAGCTCCTTATGGGGCCACGAAGCGCTGTCATGGGTGGGGGAGACGCATGCGAACTGCGCCTCTGGCGCGACGCATGCGAACACCCCGATTGAGGCCTTCGGTGGAGCTCCCTATGGGGCCACGAAGCGCTGTCCTGGGCAGGGGAGACGCATGCGAACACCCCCACTGGGGCCTTCGGTGGAGCTCCCTATGGGCCACGAAGCGCTGCCCTGGGTGGGGGAACCGCATGCGCCCACCCCCACTGGGCCTTCGGTGGAGCTCCCTGTGGGGCCACGAAACGCTGCCCTGGGTGGGGGAACCGCATGCGCCCACCCCCACTGGGCCTTCGGTGGACTCCCTATGGGGCCACGAAACGCTGCCCTGGGTGTGGGAACGCGCAATGCGCCCCCCCTCACTGGGACCTTCGGTGGAGCTCCCTATGGGGCCACGAAACGCTGCCCTGGGTGTGGGAACCGCATGCGCCCCCCCTCACTGGGACCTTCGGTGGAGCTCCCTATGGGGCCACGAAACGCTGCCCTGGGTGTGGGAACCGCATGCGCCCCCCCTCACTGGGACCTTCGGTGGAGCTCCCTATGGGGCTACGAAGCGTGTGAGAGGTGTGCCGGGAGCAGAGGCAAGGAGGGGGAGGAGGGAGGAGTTGGAGGAGGGAAGGAAGGAAGGACGGAAGGAAGGAAGGAAGGAAGGAAGGAAGGAAGGAAGGAAGGAAGGAACGCGGGGCACCGTCTCTTCAAGGCGAGGACCCAACACCACAGGATGGTTGGGAATGAAACAGAATGCACTTATTTATAGATTGGATGTGTATATATACACATATAAATACAGATATACATACAGATCTATACATATATATATATATAGAGAGAGGTGTATGTATATGTAAATGTATATCTATACACACATACATTCAGCCCTGTCTGGCCTCCAGGCGGCTCCCACGTCGCCAGAGACCGCACCGAGGCTGCAGAGCTCCAAAATATTGCCCCCAGAGGCGGCCGAGCGAGTGCCGAGCCGGCCAAAGATGCCCTCCCCAAATGTTGCAAGATGAGGAGGAGAAGGAGGAGGAGGAGGAGGAGGAGGAGGAGGAGGGGGAGGAGGAGGGGGAGGAGGGGCAGGAGGGAGGGAGGAAGGGAGGAGGAAGGAAGGAGGAGGGGTCCAAGAGGGCGCGTCCAAGAGGCTGTCAATAACAGCTTCCAAGACTGCCCAACATGCTTGCAGGGACGTCCCAGGACGGCCCCAACACGCGCAGAAGACGGCCCCCAGAAGACCCCACGACGGCCCACCATGCCCTCAAGACGGCCAGAGGCCCCCAAGAGTGACCCAAAAGGGGAACTTCGAGCTGGACTCGGGATCCTTTCCTCCGAATGGGCTTCCAGAGTCCCCAACCCGCCGTCAAGAACCCCCCAGGAGGCACCAGAAGGCTACCGAGAGGCGTTTAGACTTCGACGGTAAATCATGAAAGCCTCCCAAACCATCTTGCTGGCCCTTGCGAATCGACGCTAATCGACGCTAGATCGACGCGAATCGACGCTAGCCGACGCTAAATCGGCGCTGTCCCATAGATTCCCAAACGCTAATCGACGCTAGTCGACGCTAAAGACGGAAATTAAGAGTGCACCGAACTCCCATGACTTGCTGCCGAATTAAGCGGGTTGGGGGAGGGACAAGGAGCGGGGAGAAGGGACGAGGATACAGTAGAGGCCCTCCCACAAGAAACCTTCCACAAGAAACCCAAACCTGAGACCCCAGGACGTTCATTGATTTTTCGTGTGGGAACGTCACGCTTCCCATCGCAAGACCATCGAAGCCCAAACAACCCAGGGCACCCTGGAGGCGAGCAGGGTGTCTCTTGGCATGGGTCTCCACTGTAGCGAGGCTGCGCACAAGAAGAGGGCGTGTAGGACCCGCACCCACTCACATGGCACGCTGAACTGGCCAGTGACTCAACACTCAGCGTGCCTCCCCTCGTCCGAGGAGACGAAGCGAAGCCACAACCTGGATAAAATCGGGTAAGGAAAAATCGAGCATCGCTGAGATCCGGCGGTTCTGGAGGATGTATCGGGGGTTGCGTCCTTCTCGGAACGTTCCAGAACGCTCCGAAAGCGTCCCAGAAAGCTCTGGAACGGATTGATCCTCGTCCTAGCCCCGTCCGATCCCAACTTGTTTCTTTCGGCGAGTCGTCGATGTCGTTCTCCCACGGACGGGGCAGTAAAA